TCCTAGTTTTTTTTCCCCAGTAGACAAACCACCAAAATAAGTGGGATAGATGTCAGAGAACATTTATCTAGATTTTATAAAAATAAATGAAATAAATACAAAAAAGACAGGGGTCATAAACCAATAAAATAAATATGCTAATGGGCATAAAATAAGACAAAATAAAGAATTTAATGAAATAAGGATGTTTTCTTTTGGACTGTTTTCAGTCCCAGACCAGACCAGACTTGAACAGACCAGACCAAACTAGACCAGACATAAACAGAGCAGAGCAGACCAGACTTCCATAATTATAAAATACACGGAGACCAGACGTTTACCAGACCAGTTCAGACTAGACCAGACTTAAACAGACCAGACCCGCAAATTTTAGTCCAAAAGAAAACATCCTAAAACACAAACGAAAAATACATTAATGGCAAAGCGAGATATTTAAAAAAAAAATAAAGCCTCAAAGTAGGAACCCCATCTGCATCCAAATGAATCCATCCAAATGAATAAGCGCTTGAATAGAACAGGAAAGTTCACTTTCCAAGCGATAGAAGATGAACTCATTAGTCTCTAAACCTTCATGCGCCAACATTTGAACGACTTGACTTGCCTCTCGGTAGCAATGGACAATACAGAGTTGTGATGGTTAATGGTTCCATTTCCAATAGAATATCATCAAGAAGCTTTTTGTGAGCAACTTTATCATCCCTGTGGGGGAGAGCTTTACAAATAATTTCTGAATCAGATTCCAACTGAAATCCAACTTTTCCAAGTAGCTTACACAAGAGAATAGCCTGAAAAATTGTTTTCGCTTCAGCATAAAGAACCGAGCTAGCTTGAATGGGAAAGGAAGTTGCAACTAGAAAATTCCCCTCTGAATTGCAAAGTACAACTCCACCCGCACTATTACCAGCCAAAAAAGCCACATCTGAATTGAGTCAAAGCTGATAAGGGTGAGTAGATTTCCAAACCGAAACTTTAAGATTAGATTTGGTATGAAATATTGGAATGAGTCCTTCCTTGTGTAATTCGGAATCATTTCCTAGGTTTTGAATTAATACATACGGAGTATGAAATATAAAATAGGATTTATAACACTTCAAAAATAAGTATAGAATAAAAAATGTAAAAGTTCAAATCGGAAATACTTTGTATAACTTAAAGTATAAATATGATTTTTATCTATCTAATACAAATCAAAGTAAATAGGAATAGATGTTAAAAATCTATTGAAATATAAATATAAATGTAAGAATAAAATTAAAAATCTAAACAAAAAATCCTAAATATGAACAAAACACATCAACTATTTTCAAATAAGAATGTCGTTATTTTCATCCTATCCAATTACTCCTAGTCAGGATTAAAGAGGTCCTATCGATCAGAAATAAACCACATTTTAGAATTTTCGGAATTTTCATCCTACTTTGAGTAGTTTTTAAATCTAAATATTTAATATGATATTATAATATTAAATATTTAAAAGTACATACCAAATAAGACTTCTATGAATGCTATTTCTATGAATTAAGACTTCTTCGAGCAAAAAAAAAAGTACATACCAAATATAAAATATAAATAAAATTGAAAATAATAAATACTCCCTCCGTTCCGCAAAGATGTTCTCGCTTTCCTTTTTTTAGCAGTCCCAAAAAGAAGTTTCTCTTTCCCTAGATGGAAAGTTATCATGCATCAAAACAGTGTCAAACAGTGCAAAACAGTGCCAAATAGTGTCGAAACAGTGTGAAAACAATAAAACTTACCCCCTGATAAGTTTATTTCCTCAATATGTGTGTAGGTCAAACCGGGAACATCTTTGCGGGACGGAGGGAGTATAATTTAGTGTGGGAAATGAAAGCACTAAAATAAAAATTTAAAAGTAAAATATAATGTTAAAATATACATATATTATCTTTTCATCTTTTTTATATTCATATTTTGAATGAACCAATAAATTAAATATTTTTACAGTATATATTTATACTTTATTTTTATTATTATTTTATATTTATTTTCTTAATTTTTGAATTTATCCTAATGTTGAACTTCTTTTAGAATTGAGGGGGTTAACTGAGCAATTCGAACAAGTTTAAAGACTCATTTGAGCATATGTTTCAACTTCAAATGCACAAATTACAATTAGACGGGTGCAGGGGCGGAGCCAGGATATGACCGAAGGGGGGGCGGGGTGAAATAAAAAAAGAATACGGAGTAGGATTTAAAATATAAATAAAATATACATATTACATTAAATGACGTATTGGTATTCATCTATAGTATTCAAAAGTACATGATTAAACGCCATGTGAGATAAAATTTAGAACGTTACATCTCTCTTGCATGTCATGAAATCACCGATAAAAAAATCTATGATTGACCAAACTTGCTAGTCAATAATGAATTAGTAATATACTTGGGAAACTATTTTCAATTTTAAATAATTAGTAAAAGGAAAAAAGTGTAATTCTTTACCTCTATTCTAATAGGTTTTGTGGATGCATCTAATCTCCACGGTCCACCAGGGAATTTTTTTTAATTAACATACTTGATATTTGGGCTTTAAATTTGCTTCCATATTAAAGTGGGGCTTTAGGACTAAGTAATACTTTACCTCTATTCTAATATAATAGTCCTAGACTCCTAGCAAATACTAGTAAAAGATTTGAGGTAGGGGGGCAGCATAACAATACTACTAAGTACTAACTAAAAACATTAAAGTTGGGGGGGGGGGGGGCAATGGCCCCCTTGCTATTATACATACCTCCGTCCCTGGACGGGTGACGCGCGTGGCGGATTACCGGGTGTTTACCTGTAAAAATAAAATTTGAATTATACGATTTTGGGCCTTAACTCTATAAGCATTGATGGCAAACTTGCCAGCCTCCGCCAAGGTTTACGAGCTTCTAAGAGTTAAAGGGATACCTAGGACTCCGATGAGTTTAATTTGGAAATCCTATATCCCCCAAAATTTTCGTTTAATGTTTGGTTGGCTTTGAGGAACCGGTTGCCTACCCAAGATAGCCTTAGTTATCTCCATATGGTTAATAGATGCGACTTGTGTAAGGGTGGATTGGAATCAATTCCACACCTATTCTTCCTATGTCCATTTACTTGTAGGGTATGGGACAAGATTCGAGAATGAATGAGATTTGGGCATCAAATGTCTACATTGCTTAGCTCAATCAAATGGATTTCAAAGGAGCACAAAGGATCGACGTTGAAGGCAAAGGCGGCCAGACTTGCTCTATGTGCCACGGTCTACTACCTATGGCATATGAGGAACGCCAACCGCTCTGAGGATAAAGAAGCAAAGGAAGAGGAGGTCATTGCAAAAATCAAACACGTGGTATATAAGATATTATTCAAAATATACCCACATGACTTGATTAAATTTTGAGTGGAAGGCCAATGCATGGACATTATGGATGTCGCGGTATGGACAGACTGCTACATGGATATTTGTTTGCTGCGGCATGGATATTTTGGATGCCGTGGTTTGGACACTAGGGACCTGCGGCATGGACATCTTGGGTGCCGCGGCATGAAGCAGGGTTTTGGATTTTTGGGTGTGTGCATCTAGCAACACCTTTGTATTTTGTTTAGAATTGAACTTATGATCTGTGTGCGTGCTTGTGCAGCATTGATGTATATTTTGGTATTTTTGATGGGCCAAGTTTGTATACTTGGTCATTTTGCATAGAATAGATCGAGTAAAAACCTCCTTTCACCTTCACATTATGTGGGGGTGGAGGTTTTTAGGAGATCTAGGACATGTGATGTATAGTTTCTTTGGGTGTTAATATATATTTTCATTTCATTAAAAAAAAATTGAATCATTTTTTGTTGAATAACATGTGAATTAGACTTTGTTTTAGTTTAGGAACTGAGTTGAGCAATCACGATTTGATCCTTTACACATAAATGAATAATCATCTTCTACTATTCATAATTTCGAAATTATAGACTGTGTACGTTGTTATATTAGAGATACTGTGAAGTCACCACTATCTAATTATAAATTACTACTCCCTCCGTCTCTTATTTAAAGTCATACTTTGACTTCACACATATTAATGAAATAAATTTATTGAGAGATAAATTTAATTGTAGAGTACACTGTTTTGCACTGTTTTGATATATATTTGTTTTCGAAATAGAAAAGTGTGACTTTATTTAAGGACATCCAAAAAGAAAAGTATGCCTTTAATTTAGGAGTAGAGGGGTAGTATTGTTTAGAGCTTGATGAAAGTTACAAAAATTGATAATTGGTGAAAATAAATGAATAATCATCTTCTACTACTCATAATTAGGAAATTATTGTCTTCATCGTCAAAATATTTAGGTAATTATTAGGAAATTATCAACAAATTTCTACAACTTGTATACAAATTTTGCGTAGAAAAGGTAATTTTCCTACAAAAACTAAGTTCGAAACATACTTAGGGTATGTTTGGCACACCTAGCTAAAAAGATACTTTTACGAGCTTTTTAGTAACTGTTAGCTTTTAATGACTAAAAAGATCTTAAAAAGAAAAGGTGATAGCTGTTTGGTAAAAAGCTGACTGTTTGATTTAGTTCGGTTTGGTATACAAGCTGTTAGGACTAATTAATACTAAAAGTCACGAGCTTTTCTCAGATGCTACACCCGGTAGCATCTCAAAAAAGATCTTTTAATTTTTGAAAAGCTCTTAAAAAATGTCATGCCAAACATACAACTAGCGTCTTTTAAGGTCTTTTTATAGAATAAAGAAGCTAGAAGCTAGAGCCTTTTGTGTGCCAAACATAGCCTTAGAATGTTTTCTTTTGGACTGTTTTCAGTTCCAGACCAGACCAGACCAGACTTGACTTCTGTAGTTATTAAATATACAGAGACCAAACATTTACCAGACCAAACCAGACCAGTTCAGACCGGACCAGACTAGATCAACCCAGAAGAGACCAACAAATTTGAGTCCAAAACAAAACTTCCTAAATCCGAACTACATTGGGATGACAAACATGTTTTCAAGTCCACCGTCAAATTTGACACGGAGTCGCCATTACACGGGTTTGACGGCGCAATTACTCCAACCTTGCTCCTGTCAAAGATAATTTCTTATTTTCTTCTATCCGACCTTTGCAAGAGCTCAGGAGAAAACAAAAAGGCATAAGAAATCAAATGAAAGGGAACTGCTCTCTTTTGGGGCTCATGCGACCTTCTATATTCTTCTCCTTTTTCACTGTTTTTCAATGCTTAATTCCAGGTTTGCCATTTTCGCTTCTAATTGTTGAATTCTAGGTTCGAAATCTCGAATCTTACTGTTTATTAACTTCTTCCACTGTATGTATACGCAATATTTTCGTTCGACGTGGTGGATTTTGTGTAATAAATTGGACGGGATCGTGGATTTTGAATGTTAATCATTTCGGTAGTCAGTTCTAATTGAATTATGGTTGAAATTAGTTTTGCTGAAGCATGATCTTCATTATAAGTCTATGACTAAGTTTGCTGAAATCGTGGCCTTCTGGTAAAGGTGAATTTGGCGGAAAGATTTGTCTCTGGCCGTAATGGTCAATATGACTACTGTAGCTGTTCAATGTATTGAATTATCAAGAAACAATAAAAAAATACTGTATTAATAAAATATTAAAAATAGTTTTTGGTATAAAGTTATGTCAAATATGCTTGCAGTAGACTGCCTTTTGCATATATGCAATTGTAGAAGCAAAGATTGGGTCTTTCTCAAATGAACTACTATGGTCACTTCATTTTCAAATAATCTGACTTTAACCTCTTGTATAACCATAGTTGAAATGAGTCTGAACTTACTGGTGATTGTCCATGGGGGTGGGGGGATAATCCAATTAGTATAATATACAAATCCCTCCAAAAATTCTAATATTGTTACCCAAGTTTTCACAGTGATGAAGCAATCCTATAGGCAAGGTCATCAGCCTGCTTTTGTTCATTGGGAACAACCCTTCTATATATTGTTTCTTTATTCCTATGGGTTTCAATGGAACCTTACCACATTACAGAGCTGTGGGAGTAGATATTTCTTCGTATCAGTTATGAGTCTTATAATGCCTATATAGTTCTAGGCATGAAGTAGTCATTGTTTTTTAAAAAACCGAAATCCGCCATAAGCATACTAGAATAACTTCCGTTAGGGTATATTTGGATCATAGATAGTGCTACAAGCCTACAATACCAAAGAATTTTGCCTGGGAAAATGTCAAAGTTCATAGAGAATTGAAACATGAATTCTTTGTAATTTTCTTAATATATTTATTTCTTAGTCTTTATATAATAGAAAGAATAAAAAAATGAGTCAGAATGAATATTCAAAATATAATTATTAAGTTTGAGCCATTTTTAACCCCCCCCCCCAACATTCTGTTTTCCTTCGTGTGTAATTTTTTTGCTTGTATTTTTTGGGCTCCAAATGGCCCTTGGAATAACCTTCCCTTGTGCTATATTGATGATATCTTCATTTTTCCAAACTAAAGGGCTGGTGGGCAGCTCAGAACCATCAAGTTCTGGAACTAAAGCATCAAACCATTCATCAAAGAAGTCCTCCACAGTAATAGGACTCACTGTGTGCCTTGGGGTGATAGTAGTCATTGTTGGAACGACAGTTATCATTTTCAAGATATGGCAGAAGAAGAGGAGAGAAGTGCAGCACGCCCGTCTGCTAAAGCTTTTCGAAGAAGATGATGATCTTAATGAGGAGCTGGGAATCTGAGTTTGAACATAACCTGTTAGTTAATCCGCTCATATGTAATTCAGTATAGGCTTTGTTTGGATGGAGGGTTCTGGAGAGCTTACTCTATATCTTGGTATATAAGAGTTTTTTTTTTTTTAAACTAATAAAAGGGGATGAATGTCATATGACAGCATATGATGTTTAGTCATTCCATTTTTTGGAATATATAAAATATAAATCAAGATATAGACTAAACTCTCCAAAACTCTGCATCCAAACAGGCTATAAGGTGGGCTCTCACCTATTTTCTCTCCTCTTATGTGCACTTGAGTTACATTTGAGAACAGGCCATACAAGTTTTGTGGGTATGTAAGTATGGATCATGAAGGACAATGGGTTTCAGACTTTCAGTTAACTTTATTCCTTAACGGATTATCAAATTAATAATTGTGATTTTTTGGCTTACTTTATACTACGTAAGAAATATGTATATATAGTGTACAGTGCAAATACCAGAGCATCTTACGGATTTGTATTGCTAAGATTTACTTGATACTTTAAAGACTTATGCTCTGTTAATCTGTGTGGCCTAGCTGTGGAACATGAGCTTTTGAGTAAAACTACTTTAGTATACGCGCTTTATGTAAAACTTGGACAAAAGTTGTTGAGTGTTTCTCCCTAGAAGTGATGTTTAGCAAAATCGGTTGAGTGTTTGACCTAATTAAGCTAGAGTATTTTTAATGACACAATAGTAAAGTTTGATTTTGAAGCTTTGTTAGTTAATTTATGAATAGTTCGTGTGGATGTACAATTAGTGCATCATACACAACACATGTTTATGTATCTTTTCAAAATATTTGTGAAAAAATGTGCGCCTACTTCAAAAGAGTATTATATATGTGCGCTTAATTCAAATTATGGGAAAAAATGTCAACATATCTTCTTACTATTTCCATTTCATCCGTTAATCTCCTATATTTAAAAATATATGTGCGCTTACTTCAAAAAAACGATTTTTGACTTGTAATAGTAGATTTTTTTAATGAGAGAACTTTAAAAATTTGTTAAAATATGAAGAAATATAAATGAAGATGGTAGGTTGCAAACTTGTCAAGTTGTCATTGATTAGTGTTTTTCTTGCTCACTTGAGCTTTCTGCTTCCTCGCTGTCACAATGTCCACTCTTGTTTGGCTTTGTGACTTTGTCCCTTGAGTATGCTCAGTTGAGTTGTACTTAGCTATTGGGACTTGTCTTTCATTGCTTCCCATTGATAGGAGCATTTCGTAAGGTATGCATTTGACGTTGTTTGGAATCAGGGGAGGAAATGTGCATCCTTGACAACCTTCGTGTTGGACAAATTTTGGCACCAAGAAGAATAAGAGACGCTTCCCATCAGAAGTTGCAAGTGGCACATTTTGTTGCCCGGGGAGTAAAGTGGAAAATTCCTTCTTGAAATGTGCATTCTTCGTTGTTTGGAATCGGGAGGAATGAAAAAGAAACACCCCTCTCAGAATATGCAGAGGACGATTGCTCAGCAGCTCGTTCATACGGTATGCTCCATGTGTGTAGCATAATCTCTTCGAAAATTAAGATTGATGTACATAAACGGGAACGATTATGATATGGTCACAACTCACAATTGTTATCACTTTGACTTGGAACAGAATTAAGAAAGTGAGATTAGAGTGGAAATGTATTGTTGTGGTTGAGTAAGAAAAATGTAAATAAATGATGGTCACACAAAATTTATGTGTATTATGAAAATATATATCATCTTAGATTCGACTGTGTATTTTATATGAAAGGTATGACCTATGTGAAATGTTTGTTTGAACTATGTGTATTATGTGTTCATAAAAGTGTGTTTTATGACGATGACATAAAATTATGATCAACTTAGCTTGCATGTTGTTTTAGATTTAACATACCATAAGGTATATGAAAAAGATCAAATACATCCTTCTATTATTTCTCATACATCATTTAAGTTCTTGTGCTACAAAAGGTATCATATCAATACCTTTACTTTAAAAATACAGTCAATTAGAATATTATTTTTAAAAAAGACTCAGTAATAATTAATTCGTAAAAAGAAAAAATTAAATAATGCATAAAAAAATATAAAAATAATAATTAACACATTAAAATAATAAAAAATAAAAATAAAAAATTTAAAAGATTAAGTGAAATTGTAAAATTAAAAATTAAAATGTAGTAACTTTTAAAATATGTAGAATATACAAATACTTTCAAAAAAGCAATAATCTAAACTTCGACGTTGTTAAATTATATATACTTTTTACTTATATTTCTACGAGTTTTAATAAATTTTTCAAAGTTTTTAATTTGAAAAATTGGCATTGCAGGTCAAGAATCACTTAAAAGGCCAAATGGGTTGATTCTTTGAAATAAAATTATTTATATAAAACTTTTTTAGTTAGTACAAAGATCTAAGTGATGGATTATAAAAGCCTAATGGAAGTGTGTGTTTTAAACTTTCGTTTTATAGAACACTATACAATAAGCATAGAATGATGAACAATAATATTTGACATAATTAAGTCTATTTTCTCAATTTTATATATTGACAAAACTACTAGTATAAGTGTATGGAATGATGATGATTAATATGAATATTTGACGTTGGTCTATTTTGTGAACACAGTTCCACTCAATTTCCCAGTCCCAAAGTAACACATATTTAGATGTAAACATGCGGAGTATAAGATTATATACTTATAAATCATATACAGAGTATAAGATTACAATTTGAAAAATGATTTATATATGTAATTCCAAATTTTCAATGCATATATAGATGAAAGACCAATAAAGCATAAACATAATTGTATCTGGATCTCCCCGTCTTTGGAACATGACCGTTTTTTTAAGGGGTTCAATAGGTTATCTAGAACAGGCCCCCCAGATTCATGAGACCCCACATTTTAAATTTCTTTTAGTATTATATAGTATGGAGTAATATTATAAATTAATACTAATCAGTAAAATACATTTAGTATAGAAGAAAAAAAATCATCTTTTTGTTGGTCCTTTTACTCTTTTGGTTCTTTTTTAATGAGTATTATTCAATTGATTTGAGTATAAGTATTTGGATTGATATTGACGAGCACTTTGTCGTAGTGAGTCAAAATAAATTCAATACTAACACTTATATGTAGTATAGCGTAGTAGAATTCGTATCCACAAGGAAAGGAATAATTCATCTCTTTTTATGAAATTAGTGAATAAAAGGGGGGTTTTGGGATTGTTGGAATTTAATTAATTTAAACTCCAAGATGAGCAACTTATATGTGATTTAATTCAAAGATAAAAAGAACTTGGTCTTGCTACTTTCCACTTGTCGATATATTTTAGTCGATCATTGTTATATCTATAACTTATCCCCTCTCGAATACTCAATCGAGGAGTATCTCCAATTCATCGAGGGTAGTTATTAACAACGACCGTTCATTAATAACCCTTACTATTAATCAAATATAGAACAACACCATATTCCGATTTAATTGTAGCATTTAATCTCTTAACTCCTTGATGAAATCAATTGAGATTGATAAACTCAACACAACGGTTTCGGTTTAACCAACACAATTAATTCCTCTCAAGTTTATTAACCATGACTGTGCATTAATAAACCGAAGTTACTTGTGAAACCATCAACGATTAACCATCGGTTCGTTGATTGTTTCAAGTAGTAATTAATGTCGAGATGTTAACTAATTGTCATCTTAATTAGCAACACTCTCCAACATTAATATTGAGATAGATTAAGGGAAGAATTAATATTCAAGAGAAAAAGTTAAGAAAATAACCCACAACTTTAATAATCAACAAGCTTCAAGAGCAACACAAAGAAATGGAAGTTTAGCTCCTCATTTGGAGACTAAACATGCTATAAAAATATAAAAGAAATGCTATTCTAAACTGAGCTTAAGAGTATGGAAGAAGGAGTGATTAAAAGTGAAGGAAAAGTGTGTTATTTATAGGTGTTTTCAACACCCTGGGGCAGATACCCGACCGGGTAAATGGGCATACCCGACCGAATATCAGTCAAAATCAAATATTTCCTCCACGATGTTATGTTTTCAGCACGTTCGTTTGTCCGGGTCATTTCATACACGACCGGGTAAAGGCTATACCTGACCGGGTAAGTCACCAAATCACTTTCCTTTGATCTTGTAAGATCCCTTCCATGATCCTTTGTTGATTCTTGATTGATTCTTGCTCAGGATGATTATAAATTTACTAAATTATAACAAACTAGAAAAAATAAAATGATTGCACCGTAAATGTGAAATTACCACAACACACCGTAAAAAGTGATTAAAAGTAAAAAATATAAACACTCAAAAATAAATGTAATCATATATTTTTTCAAAAAAATTTATATTAATGTGGGGCCTCGATTTTACATTTAGAAATGGGACCTCCAAATTCATTAGACGGCCCTGCTTTGGAATCACTATGACAAGATTACTTAAGCATAATAATGGTATGATTTATTAAGCAACCATGCTTGGTGTGCATCCTCTTTATTTACCAAACACACAGACCAAAAAAAATACAGACACTTTCAACAAAATTTTCCGTGTGGACAAAATTTGGTCTGTTGATTGATGTAACTTTTTGTCGACCTGTCAGGCTAGTTGAACGGAAACCAATGTTGTTGTACACAGATAATTATTAGTTGTATATATACAAAAAGTGTATGTACATATACAATTTTGTCTCGGTGCGTAGACATTTGTTTCGGTGCAATCAAACTCTGACTTTTTTAAATATTTTTTGTCTGTGTACATAGACATTGAAAAAAAATCAGTGTCGGTGTTCGCACATTTTTTTGTCTATAGCGAAAGTTTATAGAATGTTACTAGTTGCTTGATTTCATCTTTCAATACAAACAATATTTATCATTATTTAACACCATACAACCAAAAATTCAAGCGGCTCTAACTTTCCAGCAAGTTTCTGGTCATTCTCAAACAACAATTTTTCGGTGAAAATGGTGATGGAAGATGATGATGAAGAAGATGATGAAAGGTGATGGTGAATAAAAGGTACTCCCTCCATCCCATAAAATAGTTCCCGTATTGACTTGGATCAGAGTTTAATTTAAGAAAGTGGAAATAAAGTGGAAATGTATGGTTGTGGTTGAGTAAGGAAATGGTAAATGAATGTGAGCCACACAAAACTTTGCAAAAAGGGAAATGAGAACAATTTTTTGGGACGACCCAAAAAAGAAACCGGGAACTATTTTGCGGGACGGAGGGAGTGAAAATAAAGAAAAAGAGAGAAGGAAAGAATAAGAAGCAGAGGAGTACATATAGGGTGTACGTACCCTTGAGTGTAATTGGTGTACCTTTAGCAAAATTCAATTCTTTATTAAGGACGTTGCATATATTGTATCAGAAAACATGGAGCATCTAGATCTTCTATAAAAAACCACACGTTTAATTACTTCAAAAACTCTCATTCTAAAGACATAAGAATAAGACACATTCTTTTGATTAATTAAACCCAAATTCACTGTACACATTCTTCTGTATTTAACAGTGTGCCCTTTTTATATTCCTTAAAACCCCTTGTTAAGTTGTTATTAACACAGGTCAAACACAGTGCCCCTCACGACTTGAATCAAAATTACTGCTATCACCGGGGGATTCCCTCGCAAGTCACAACCCACCCCACCTCAGAGCATCTCTATTTATACTCCCCAATTTTACGGGTTTTTATGACTTATTATTGTCATGTCATTTCCACCTAAGAAAATCTTAAGGGCGTGTTTGGAAGTTGAGTTTTGGAGGGGAGGGGAAGGTTGATGAGGGTTTATGACCCTCCTTTTCATGTTTGGAGTTTATAAAATCGGAGGGGATGGTTTTGGAGGTCTCTCTTGACCCTCCAAAACCCTCTAAATGCTCAATTTTTGAGTTTCTTCAATTTGGAGGGTTTTGAAGGATAATTAATGAAATCGTAATTTTAGCTCAATTAAAAATAAATATCAGTTCAATTATTTGAATTCATCATATTTTCAAGTAATTTTAATTGTAATTCATTCAAAAACCACCTTCTTCCAAATGTATTACTCCCAAATACAAAGAAAGACTTCCTCGCCCTTCCTTCCCTTTCCCCTCCAACAACATACCTCCAAAGCTTTCCCCTCCCCTTCCCTCCAAACTCCCAAACATACCTTAAATAATTTCCAAACCAATTAATTTCTCTTTAACCATGATCTCAATTTACCTAGAGTTTTAAATTCCTAGGAATCCTTTCTTTTCGAAGTGGTCGATGGTTCTGTAAGGGAAACCAAGTTTAATGCTAGTGACTTCTGATATTTCATATTTTGAAAGAGGAACCTAGATTTAAAATTTGATATCAGATTTTTTCGTCAAATAATCTCAACAACTCAATCATAATCTAAAAAAATATGATACACATCATCGAAATGTTTCCTAATAAATAAACCTATGGATCTAAAAAAATATGATCCACATCACAATTTTGTGACTCTGAATTGGTTAGGGCGCTGTAAATTTGTAAGTGGGGTTCTATTGTAACAGTAATTTTGAAATGGTTAAGGGGCTGTAAATTTGTATGTGGGGTTCTATTGTAACAAGATACATAGCATTATCCGTGTCCCAAAATATTTAATCACATTCAAAATTTTCACCAATTATATATATTTATTAAAAATTATTTTTAATATAAAATGATATGAAAATGTTCTTTACTATGTATTTTGAATGTGCAATTTATTAACTTCTCTAAAAACAATGTAAAAGCAAATGGGGAGAACAAATTGGACTAGTAATTTGACGAAAACGAGAGTTTTTTTTAAATTTGTAAGATTTATACTAATAATATTAGAATTTTGATTCAAAACATTTTATAACTGGAACTTATATAAAATGTTCTCATAAAATTCAAAATTTCTACTAAATATGTATATTTCACACTGTTTTTTTTTATATGTATACACACTAAAATTGAAAGTTTCTACTAAATATATACGTAGTATATATATATATATATATATATATATATATATATATATATATAATGACATTGCAAAAAATATGTAAAAACATTGCTCAAAACTGAAAAGATTTAAGTCATTTAATTACCAAAAAATTAAGTCAAAGTTGGTAAACTTTTTTGGGATAAAGTAAGTATTGGTATTAAAACAAATATGACAAATTAAACTTACAATAACTAATATATTTATTTTTAAAATAAATACTTACCTAAAAACATAATAGTAACATTATATAGTACAAACAGATAGAAGTAAATTTACATTCATTTATTTATTCAATCTTCTAAGTTCATATAATAATCTATAAATATTTCTACCTTCTCACGCTGAAGTAAATCGGCAATAAATTAAAACTGAGTACCGAGAAATTCAAATTGAAGTTCACCTTTCCCCCCAAAAAAAGATCTGCTAATTAATATTAATACAACAAAAATGATGAACAAAAATGTGACTTAGTAATTATTAGTAATTAGAATTTGATTCAAAGTTTACATTGCGCTCACATATATGTTAAAACTTTATCATCTTTGACATTTCAAGTCAATGATGAGAAAGTTCATGCCATGATTTTGATTAGTATAATAATACTTGGGAAATTATAAATTTTATACTTTGATAAAGGTACCGTCTATAAAGAATATTTTCATATCATTTTTATATTATAAATAGCTTCCTATAAAAATATGTAATTGGTCAAAGTTGAACTTGGATAACCAAAAATTTGAAAGATGACAAAGTTTTAAAAGACGGATGCAGTAGTTACTACGATATAAATTTTGAACACAATTACGATCACTAATAGTTATTAAGAGCCCGTTTGGTAACACTAAAATTGGCTGAATTGGCTGATTCTGCTGAGATTTATGAAGTTCTGGCTGAAGTGGTTGTATTGGGTAGCTAATTCTGGTGATTCATGAAAAAATTACATTTAAAATATTTGTTATTAATTAATAAAATAAAAAATTATATGAAAAAATAGCTAAAATGATGCTCTACAGTAATTTCAACCAATACGGCCAGAAAAGTAACTTCAACCTTACTTTTTCTGCTTATTACACAATTTAGCGTGCGAAAAAAAAAGTTACATGTTAGGTAAAAAAGCTGGCTGATAAGCCTGATAAGCCGTAAAAAGTGGTCACCAAACGGACTCTAAATTAAATTTGTGTCCATAACTTTTGTATTACAAATATTTAAGGAAAAACCCCGTTTTCCCCAAAACTACCCTTAGAATCTCATCCCAACCACTTTTAGGGCGGCACCACCCAAGCATAGCACTGGACGGCCGGGCTGGTGCAGATGTGGTTATGCATGATGGAAGGGCAATTGGGTAAAGTTATGGGGGCAGAAACTCTTTTCCATTATAGGCAAGAAATGGCACTGCAGAGCTCTTAAATTAAAAACTCCATAATATCACGTAGAGGTTCATATCTGGTAAAAGCCATTTCCATGTCATTTTCATTGCCAGCTCTCTCTCCCTCCCCATCCCCACCCCCTCTCTTATTTCAGAAGAGGTACAAATTATTAATTAAAGAAATAAAAAGATAAATACTTGGGATTCTTTTGTTCTGTGGGAGTTATAGATAGAGCAGAATAGGAGATCAGCTTAGCTTAGGGCTTGTTTGGTGTTCCAGAAAGGGTTCCAACTTGCAGGAAAATAGCAATTTTTTCTGTTGAAGTTACTCGATCATCAGGTCTGATCTGTGTATACACACTTTGTAGATTAGAGAGGCTGTATGGGTGGAATATAGTATTATTAGTAGCTACTTCTAGTTTTAGATTTTCTTCCAAAAAAAACCACCTAAAAATATATAAAAATCTTTTTGAGAAGCTTAAAGAAATCAAGAACTGCTCTCAGATTTTGTTTTCTATCTTCATGCATTTGCAGAAAGAAAAATAACTGATCGATCGATCTACCCACCACATCAAACTTCCAGATCCAATATGTTATTATTTGTTTATTATTTATTGTTTTAAAAGTTTACTTTTTGTAAAATATGCCCTTTTATTGGCCTCGGTTTTTGTTTAATGTGTTAACTTTTTGGACAGCTTTGGTTCACAAGAATAGTGAATCTGATCATCTTTGTGCTAAATGTGTGTTTGTATATTAATTGAGCTTATTTTTGTTCATACTTTTTTTTTATCTTAGTTTATGTTTTATTTTTTCATTTTCATAATTGGGGGTTGCATTGGATCAAAGCTAACCTAAGAAAGATTCTTCCTTTACCATAATATATATTCGATCCATCTACTATCATATTTCCATCTTAAAAAAGCTTTCTTTTTCGAGATAGACTGTAGTTGACCCCAAGAGCTATATTATTATTATTAATTAACCCCAAGAGCTATATTATTATTATTAGTGAGTAGTTTATTTTTAAATAAAATAAATGAACTCATTATATTTCTGTTTTCTTGTCACTTGGTATTATATTAACTTTGATGTCTTAAACTAATTTTCCCATCTATTAAAATGAAAAGATGTACATTAGATCTTATAAGTTCTTCCACATATATGATTTAATTATAAAAATAGAATTTTTAATACGGTTTTATTTAAAAGTCAACAAATAACTATTTATATTACATGATAAAAAAGTAAAAAATACAATAGTGATTTTATGAAACTGAATTTAATAAAATCTGGGTATGCAGGATTGGAGTGAAAAATGGGAAGAGGGAAGATAGAGATAAAGAGAATCGAAAACAACACAAATCGGCAGGTGACTTTCTGCAAGAGGAGAAATGGGCTTCTCAAGAAAGCTTATGAACTCTCCGTTCTCTGTGATGCAGAAATTGCTCTCATTGTTTTCTCTAGCCGTGGCCGTGTTTATGAATACTCCAACAACAAGTAATTAAACGCATTATTATTATGATTATTATTATTATTATTATTATTATTATATTATATTATTATTATTACTAAATTGATAAGTACCTTGGCATACAACATTAAAAGTGTCACTTTAGTACAACTCCATCTTTTTCCTCAAAGTGTGAACTACAATGATATGTTTGTTTGTGCCATAGAATGCATGATGCATGAATCATTTAATTTGCAATCTTTTTCATACATATATTCTGTTAATTACATAATTAATGAGGGTTTGGGGTTTCTACATGATGATCACTCTGTATCATCTGCTTATTAGGATGTGAAAATGCATGCAGGCTGTCCGGAGCTTTTCATTGTTTGGTTAATTTTGGAACATTTTTTGTTATCATAATAACAATGAAGGACTACTATTTAATGCACATACTTCCTGGTTAAAGCTGGTAGTTAAGCTAAATAATTGAGGATGAATCTATCATAATCCCACCACTTGACAATATTCCATTATCCGTTCCATAAAATTTGACCAATTCAAATTGATTTTTCTCAGTCAATAATGTCAGTCAAATTTGATCAAATGATATTTTTAATACTCCGTATGAATTTATTTAAAATATGAAATTCATACGAAAATATTCTTTGTTAAGAATGCTTTCATAAGAATATAAAATTTATATCTTTCACTCAAGAGTTTTGCTAAAATAATTGTTCAAATTTTTATAATCATTGATAATAATAAAAAATCAATTTAGCCAAGTTGTATGGGACGGAGGGAATATCTAAACTCTGTAACGACAATTATATACTTCGTATCATATAAGTAGCATGTAGTTAAGATGTTTTACATTAACAATATATAAATCTGACAAAATTTTAGTCTTAGCTTAGGCTCTGTTTGGTCTAATCAATATCTATAAGAGGAATTGAAGACTGAAACAAAAGAAAGTTTTGAATAATACTATATATCTATCTCTTATGCAACAACAATAACTGTTTTAAGCTCTTGGATTAGGCTCTGTTTGGCCCTTTAATGATAGTGTTGCTATTTTTTTAAAAAAATACATACATATAAAGCAAATGTACGTACGCCTAGCTAATTATTAAGACAAAAGACACTATATAAATATATATATGTTGAGCTACATGGCGTTATCAACTTCAGCAATGAGTTGTGTTCTATACCATTTTTAGTGGTTAAGACTTTCTATAAGTATGTTATGAAATACATACATATATACTTCAAATATATAGAGTCTAGTTTCAATGAGCTAGAATGGTTGTTTCTGTGAGAAATAAAAATGATGTAAAAAGATGCACATCCTAATATATAAATTGCACATTTCTGATTATGATAATGCACAAATTTATAACAACAAAAAGAATTCAATTTATTTATAAAATTCCACCTCATTTTTAATTCATGTCAATGCACATTTAAGTTTCAAATTCAACGCTTCAAATTCGTTCTCATTTCTCTGCTTGGATCATATTTTCATTTTATGCAAATTATATATATGGTCCCATGTCAATGTCTTTCTACATCCAGCTAGCTTATTCTTGAGAAGCTAGAAGCTATTTACATTCTTGATTGATGACGTGTTTGAGATTTCCAACTTCCACATTTAGTAGACTGATCAGTAAAATTAGGAAGCACCGAAGCATGGCACATTCTTGTCTCTTCAATTCCCAACCTCTACTTTCATAAATTTAGTATTTTCTTCTCACTTTTTGGGATTTTTCTCTCCACTACAATGATGTAGTTGAGGCATGCATGCTGGATACATAATAGAAATGCATGTATTTGAAAAAATAGCTTTTGGTGAGTGCGGGATAGCTATGTATAACTGTATCTGTATGGACATTTACATGTAAGCTTGTCACTTTTCACTTCTGACTATCTAATTGTTCATATTGTCTCGATCAGCTCATTAGTCAATATATTAGACATTCAATCAGTAGACTAGCTGAAGATTTGGGTCTAGTACTCTAGTAAAATCAAAGAGGTCAAGAGGGGCATATGTGGCATCCGTTAGATCAGGGGCGTAGCCAGGACACTGGGCTAATCTGGGCCGGTACAAAGAATATTATTGGAAAAAAAATTACACGAAATTTTTTACACTAAAATATTGACATTTTTCAAATTTGGGGTGGGCCAGGGCCTAGCCTGGGCACCCCCTAGCTCCGCCCCTGCGTTAGATATTGAATATATACATTTAAACCCGCACATGTGGTTCAGTTGGTTGAATGGTACGAAAGTTGGAAGAATGATCAAGGATTGAAACCCACCGTGATCGTGTGGAGGTTACAATTCTCATGTGCTGGGTTGGACCTCTGGTGCACACGGATGCAAGGTCTATCACCATTGGACCGGCTGAGTCACCGTGACCTACAACCTCCCCAAAAGTCTTGTCGGGTCGGGGCGTGAGGGGCTTTGGGGTTGGGGATTCAACATTTTGGAAGAATGAATATATACATTTAAAAAATTGAAGTTTGGTCATATATCTAAGAATTTCAAACTTATTTATTAAGTTTTTTCTCAAAATATATATTTCTCAAAATTACTTATATGTACACAAAATTTATATACATTTCGTGTCCCTAGTTACACGTGTACACATTCAGTTTGTGCTGACACACTGAGAATTATGTATAATATGTGCGAAATGTGAACAAATTTTGTGTACACTGACATTTTTGTTAAAACAAATAGGGAGTCAATGGTGAAGGCCTTGCATGATTGAGAAATCGGAAATTGAAGTGTCAGGTGCTAGCTAGAGCTAGCTAGGTCGCATTCTCATTGTATCATAGGTTTTCTTGCACAAAATAAGACCCCACAAAACTTTGAGTCTTTGATTGCTATTTTTATCCTCACATGACATTCAAATTCATGCAGTCTCATGTTAAACTAGCTAGTTGCGTATTCAAACAAAACAATCCAAATTAATGATTCTCTTTTAAGGATCCATATGATTCTGATTATTCCTCTTCTGTGTATGTTCTTGTACTGCAATCATTACTGCACTTGTTGTTCTTTCTTCCCTTTTCAGCTTTGGGGATTTCCTGCCCTCCTTTTTAAACAAACACACCATTTCAAAACATTGTTCATTCACTGTCCTTCTTCTTGCAATTATATTGCTGCTATAAAAATTGGAAGTTCCAATGAATTTCCTTTTATATGTAACCTTTTGCCACCTGCACAAGATATAAACCAGTATTAAGTTTGATTAATAAAATAAAGGGGTCAATCAGAACATTAAATTAGGATGTTCTTACTTGGACTGTAATCTGTCACAGACCAGATCAAACCAGATCAGACCAGACTTGGATAGTTATAAAAATACAAAGAAACCAGACCAGTTCTGACCAGACCAGACCAGCAAATTACAGTCCAAGTAAAATCATTCTTACTGTCTCAGAAGTTACTATGTTATTATTTCTTTAAGAAAAAATCGTATTTTTAATTACAAAAAATGTTTGGTATATGCGAGATTAGCCTTGTACATAATGGCTCTCATATATATATAGACATTTACTTCTTATTCATGAGAGTGTCAAAATGTGAGTGATGTCACACTTCCTCTTATGATCATAGTTTTCATTCATTTAAATGAAAAAATTATGTCGTAAAAAGTGTTTATGAATTTATCCAGATACATGTTTTCAAAATTTTGTTTCTACGTAGTTTGTACATATTTATATTTAAATGTATTAACGATCAAAGACGTGTATGGATTTTTTTTCCAATTATGAGGTTCATGTAATTAATTAAGTTATATCTATAATTATATTGCATATGAAAGTATGAAATTACTGAAACTAAACCTAAATTGGAATACGTATGCAGCATTAAGTCAACAATAGAGCGGTACAAGAAGGCAACTTCAGATGCTTCTAATATCTGCACCCCTCAAGAGCTTAATGCCCAGGTAATCAATTAATTACTCAAGGCTACCTTTAATTTAGCTGTGCTTAGTAGCATGAACAACAAGAGTTGGTCAATACTTCTCTCAATGTCACTAGTAAAAACAATTAGGATATGTTTGGGAGTTTGAATGGAAGGGGGTCGGACAAGAGTGTTTTGAAGGTTAGTCATTGGAAGGGAAGAGAGGGAAAGGGTTGGAAACTCTTGTTTGAGAGTAACAAGTTTGAAATGATAGGGGTTTTGGATGAATTATAATTAAAATCACTTGGCATATGTTATGAATTCAAATAGTTGAATTTATATTTATTTAAAATTGAGCTAAAGTTATCATTTAATTAATTATCCTTCAGAATCTTCCAATTTGAAAGAACTTGAAAATTGAGTATTTGAAGGGTTTTGGAGGGTTATAAAAGCCCTACAAAATCATCCCCTCCATATTTTTAAGTCCCAAACATGAAAGAGAGGGTCATAAACCCTTCTCAACCATCCCCTCTCCCCCAGAACCCAACTCCCAAACATACCTGATGCCGTATATTAAGTTGCATATTTGAAGTCTTGTAAGCGGTACCAAAAAAGGTTAGCTAGTTAGGCCCATTCTCACATTTTGCGCTCTCATTCATTAGTCTTACCCAAATTAAAAATGAGAGAATTCTCTAATGAGTCTTATTTTAGGAAGAAAACAAAGTCGGTTTGAAAATAAAACATATTACCTTCGTCCCAAATTGATTTGCAAATTTGACTTCTCTTGGTCAAACAGTTTCATTTTATTCTCTTAATTAGGATGTCAATTTTTAATTATATTCTAATTTGGAATTTACAACTTTGATGAAGAGATTTCAATGTAATTTATGAATAATATGTAAATTTTAATTATTAAAAAGTGAGTTAATTATCAATAGGAAGGATTGACTTTTATTATAGGTTGACCAAAAAATGTTGACTTTGCAAAACAATTTGGAAAGGAGGGAGTAATTAGTTATATTTATGTTTTTTGTCAAAATTTTAGTTCTGTTAAGAGAAATTTCTTTTTATGGTTTTCAATCAAAAATTTAAAATACTGCTTATATAGATTTCCTCATTCTATTTATATAATTTGCTCTCCAATTTAATCAATTTGGGCTAATTTATATTTAGCTGACTTTTGTATTGTATTGTTTTACAAAACAGTATATGTAAACATAGTTATTATTACCTGTTTATGGTGATATAGAGGATTATTCTAGCATATAAGTGTTCCACACTTCAACTAACATGACTTATTCAGTCTAGAGGAATAATAAATGCACTTAATATTTATTTTTCTAGTTCAGGTATAAAAAAAGCTAGTATTTTTACCCGTGCCGTGCACGGGATAAAATACACTTTTATATTTTAAGTTTTACTATGGAATGTAAAGAAAAATATTTGACGGTGTCCATGTTGCTCCATAATACAATGTTTATAAAGAGAGTGGATGGCTAAATAAAGATGTAGACATGCATCTCAACTTGATCTAAATTGGTAGCTCACCATCTTTTCTTTGAGGGAACACCAATTTCATCTTTTCAATTCTCACTGTGAATTTTTTATTATTGTAAAAGGTTTCATAGACTCAATGAGGATACTATAAAAGTGTTTGCAATTGCTTCAACTTTAAAAAAGTGATTTTTTAAATTGATTTTGGGAAAAGTGATTCATAGTAAAAGTTGGTAGTGTTTGAGAAAAAAGTGATTCTGGAAAAGTAAAAGTTGGCGGTGTTTGGTAAAATAAGTACTTTTTGTGTAATAGAAAAAGTGAGAAGCAGTTTAAAGCACCCTTCTACATGCTTCCAGCTTTTAGCTTTTAAGTGATTAATTTAAGGAGAAGTTGTCATTTGAAAACACTCTTTTCAACTTTTTTTTAAGCCAAAAGCTGAAAAGTGCTTTTTTTAAGCAAACCCAAACACTCCTTATGTACATTTGTATTTAATGTTGTCATTTTTATAATTTATTCTCTCAAATTGTTTTCATTTTTGTCTCCGTATAAATTTTGTTTTGTTATTTTGTTATATTTGGTAAATGGAAACCGAGAGTTGGGGACTTACCCCACTTATTTTGGTGATTTACCTTATGGACGGATTTATAGAGTTTTGTAGCTTTAAGATATTAATAGTGGTAACGATGATCACAGTAGGCTGCATGGCAACAATTGGCGAGTCTCTGGGCAACGACAATGACATTAGTTTTTTTTAATTGAAAGCAATGACATTAGTTTATTTTATTAGAGTTATTGAGACTATTATGATCTTATTAGATAAAATAAGTGTTAATGATGAAAGAAGATTCTATATTATATACTTTAATTGGGCAATATTTATTTTTATTAAACATCTATTGGTCAAATGCTCATTAAAAATTCTTCCAAAAAAATGCACTTATTAAAAATAGATAATAGATAACGTATCCCGTACTGTTGTAGTAGATTAGGAGTAACACGTCGATGACCCTAAATGTATGCTATTATTATGTGTTATTCAAAGAGAACACACATCAAACAGTAGTTAATAAGTTCAACTTTACTTATTTTGATTATTACATAATAATCATTTTTTGATTATTTATTATTTGAAAATATTTATCTATTTTTGAACTTATACTAATCTTATATTATTAAATTATTTTTAAAATTTATATGCGTGTTTATAAGACTAATCAGTTGTTTTAAATTTTTTGAAGTAACCTGTTATAGCAAGTTAAAATTAAATGACTTAATTGGCAGTACATTTAAAGTAAACATATTTATATGATGCTTGTTTTTAATATACGGACTCAAGTGATGAATTCGTTGTAGTAGAATGATCTATTTGACCTTTTTGTCTTTGTGCGTTGATTGTCGGTTGGGATGTTTTAGCACAAAATTATGGCACGTTGATTTGCACAAACCTCAAATACAATGTTTTTATTTCTTCATTTATGTGTCCCTCTTTTTGAATAGTTACTTAATAATATTCCTATTGTATTCCAAATTTTCCAAATGAGAGTTTTTCAAAATTGAAAATGCTCCCCGCAAAAAAAAAATTGAAAATGCTAAAGACAATATGCCAAATGAAAACTTTCAAAATATTTTACATTACAAAGAGAGTATGCTTTTAATCATTTTTTAAAACTATCGGATACACTCATACACGTATGAATTTTATTTGAATGCAATTCTAGAAAAAAAATAAGAGCCCCTTTAATAATCTCTAATTCAATTTATTAGTCTTATATCAAATAACTTTTCAATAAACACGTAAATGTTGAAAAAAAATAAGAGCCCGTTTAATAATCTCTATTTTCAACTTATTAGTCTAATCAACCAACTTTTTATAAGCACGTAAATTTTTATCCTTCACGTTGAATTGTGTCATAATCAAAATAAGTAAAGTTGAACTTATTTTTCTAACCGGTTTGGCTTAGGTTACTCCAGAAGATAATTTGAGTGCAATTCTATTTGAGTGCAGTTCTAAAAAAAATTGAGAGATCTTTTTTATAGAACGTAAGTTTTGATTATTCACACTGAAATACTGAATTGTGTAATAATCAAATAAGTAAAGTTAGATTTACTTTTCTGGCTGAATTAACTAAATTATTGTAGAAGATCATTTTAGATATTTTTAAACTGGTTTTTCTTTAATCTATTCGTAAAATCTATTTAAAATATTTATTATAGTTTTCTAAATTCAGCCAATTCAACAGCTTAAGCTATCATTTTGATCAAATTTCAGCCTAGATGTGTTTGAGTGCAATTATTTTTGTATAGGTAACTCGAAATTCGGGTAAAACTTTATAGAAGAACTCAGAAATTTATAAAACGTATACGATAGTATGTAATACGTTTTCTGACCCAAAATAAATTTCATTCTTTTTTCATCCGTCCGATCCCAGATAAACGTTTTCTTCCTTTTATGACAAAAAAAAAGCTATGGCTCATAGTCGTTCTCTTTTTTCTACACAAATTCAGCCACACAATTTTTACTTTTTTAATCATGTACTATCTATCATGTTAATATATGAGTTAATAATAAGACGGAAGAAATAGCCACTTATCACACTATTGATTTGTGAATAAGTTCAACTTTTGGTCCATGTCTTTGACTTTAACCACATTTGGTACATGATTATTGTTTTAGCCCATATATGATTTTTCTGTTGATATATAATTATTCCAGTGGTTAAATTGACGGGAAGGCGTCGAAAATTGAACGGAAAGATCACAAATGGTCAAGAAATATTAATCAAGTACTCCGTATAAAAAATGAATAAAATGAAAGAAGGAAGTTAAATATGGAATTGATATAAAATCATAACACCAAAAGTGAGATTAATTTATTAATTTGTAGATACTAATCACACGATTGCATGACTTGATAGAGATATGGATGAGTCATGAGTGGATGTTGTTCAATCTATACGAAGCTTTTGTATATTATGTGTCACAGTATTTGAATTGACCACAATGCTTATCACTTACGTGTTAAATCCACACTTTCAATTGAGCTAATTTAGTCAATTGACTTAATATTTGTTTGTTTGTTGCATGGATTTGGGATACATGGATGTGTGTAGTTCTATCAGCAAGAATCAAAGAAGTTGCGTCAGCAGATACATATGCTCCAGAATTCCAATAGGTGATGCTGCATGATTCATGATCAAACTGCCTCTTCATCATTGTCTACCTACACTACTACCTAAGTACCTATATATACATGCATGCCATGCACATATACACACAACGGGGTAAATGCATAAATGGTACCTCAACTATTGGTAATGTTGCATTTTGGTACCTTAACTCTTAAATGAATCAAAATGGTACCATAACTATACACAAATGTTTCGAATTGAGATTTTATTCAAATTTTCGACCAAAAAAATTACACGTGGTGGTCAGAATTCTATGCGTAAAGTCTACTTCACCTTATTTTTGTCCATATGATCACTATAGGGTGACTCTACGCATGAAATTTTGATCATCATGAAGGACTTTTTTGTTAAAAAATTTAATAAAATCTCAATTTGAAACATTTAGGTATAGTTAAGGTACCATTTTGATTCATTTAAGAGTTAAGATATCAAAATGCAACATACCAGTAGTTAAGGTGCCATTTATGCATTTGACCCACACACAGTTTTAATTTTTACAGCAGTAATTAACTATTTACATGTTATGATATGGTATATGTAATAATGTAATTAACCACATATTATTAGTGTAGGCATCTAGTGGGTGAAGGGCTGAGCTCTTTAAATGTGAGGGAGTTGAAGCAGCTGGAAAGTAGGCTTGAAAGAGGAATCACAAAAATTAGGTCCAAAAAGGTATCTCAATTCCATTATTTTGTGCTTTATCCTTATTTCAGGGCGCTATTTTTTCTAGTTTTTCTGTTCAACTTCAAAATAGGTCTCATTTTTGTCCAATCAAAATGCAAAGCTGATAGTATTATTTATGTCATTATTCCAAATAATGACTGACTGAACTTCTTGGAAAAAATTCAATCTATATAGATGAAAATTTTGGTTTCTCTTTGGTTTATAGTAGTATTTGGGAACATGTTACATACATCATATATAGATAGTTTGGCCTAATGAAATGCTTATTTAATCTCTGGACTTTATTCCCCATTTTTTTTCTAATGCTTTGACGCTATTATTATTATTTTTTGAACAGCATGATCTCATTCTTGCTGAAACTGAGAACTTGCAAAAGAGGGTAATTCCTACTACTACCCCACTACAAGTTCTGTTTACCCTCATGATCAGTATATGCATTAAATTCTTTAAAACGATGAAATAAAACAAATTGCACTCAAATGTGTTGAATATGTTGAACCTACTGTTCCAACAGGAGGTGCATCTTGAACAGGAAAATGCCTTTCTTCGAGCCAAGGTAGTGCTTATTAATAGTTCATCGATCTACCATTCTTCTTATCTATGCCTCCAGTAAAAAGAATTACCATGACAGAAAAAAGTTGCTTAATTTGACATGGGAAAAAAGTATCATATTGGTTTTGCATGAACAATGAGTATGGACAGATGTTGGACCAGTTCGGACCAGTCGGTTCCCGAATAAGGCCGCAAGGCCAAGGGGTGGAACCAAAACCTTAACTCGAAACAAAAACATGTCGGATTCGGTGATTCGGTCCTATTTTGGAAGAATTATAATCAGTTTTGGATATCAGATCTATCCGAAATCATAAGAAGTGACACCTATTCAGTTCCATTACCTTATCCGTTCCAATTTCGTGTCTAGCCCTAAATATGAGTGTGAGTTGTTTAGGCTGTAAAGATGCTTTCTCACTTTTACCTATCAATATGGCGGCAAAGGAAGTAAGGAACTTCTTTGCTTGATTATTATGATGGACACAATGCAAGTACTTTAGATAGGTGTTCTTTCTGTTTTCACTCACCAATTTGGGTAGCAAATATACTTTGGACACCCCATATTCAATTTTTTCCATAGAAGTTGGAAGGTGTCATGTTTGGGTTTCATTGTTTCAATATACGGAGTATAGTTGTATGTGTGCAATGCATTATTACAATATTATCAAAAAATTGGCCCTTTAATTTATTATGTCATGTATTGGAGACATGCATGCAGATAACAGAGAATGAGAGGCTTCAGGAGCTAAGCATGATGCCAACAGGGGGGCAAGACTACCAAGCCATCCAGCACTACCTTGCTCGCAACATGATGCAAATCAATGTGATGGATGATGGCGTCTCGCCTTCTTACCCTGTATCAGCGGACAAGAAAAACCTCCACCTCGACTAGCTAGCTTAGCCGGCAGCGCTAGCCTCTAGGAGCGAGCGGACCCGTTTGGTTGATGATTTCATTTTCTGCATGCATGCATCTAAGTATTAACTCATAAGCTCAGCTAGTTGTACTTCTAGCTAGTTTATTGCTGATGCCGCATGCCCTACCGAACATTCTAGCTAGACTATCAATTACTCCTTTGTTTGATTGTGTACGACTGCGTACCAAGAAACCATATATGCCGCATCCAAAGCTAAACAACTTTGATTTTCTTATTACTATGCTTATCATGATCTCCCATCATGGGTATATATGTACATATCTTCTGCCAAAAGTTTGAATCCCAAAGACCCCACACCCCGACCCGATAGTACTGAGGATGTAAATCATGGTATTCGGCTAAACTTAGAGATTAGATCAGTGTCCATCGTACATAAGGAGCCCCATACTTAAAGAGGTGCTCCTACACTACCGCTGACGCCTGGTGTGACTCAATCGTGAGTCACTTGTGTGCCAAACTTAACCCCTTTGAACAATCGAGAGGTTGCTCTGACACTGTCGCAACCAAATAAGAAAAATGCTTGATGTACACATTCTTGTGTACACTTTGGGGAAAATATTTAAAATACCCCAAATTTTGAAGGGGTGTGAGATTAGTACCCCAAACTTGCATATGTAATTTAAATACCCCAAACTTTATATAAAAAATTATTTTAGCATCATAGTCAACTATTATTTCTTTCAAAAGTGTAAAGTTTACGTTATTAATTGCATAATTTAAAATATTTTGGAATTCATGAAGACACAATTAACATTTTAAGCTTGCATTAGGAAATAAATAATGTTACCACCAATCTATATAATTGCAAAACTTTTAATTTTCTATTTTAAATTATGCAATTAACCCCATAAACTTACATTTTTAAAGAAATTATACATGAAAAAGGTGCAAAAATAACTTTTTATTTAAAGTTTAGGGTATTTAAATTACATATGCAAGTTTGGGGTATTTACCTCACAACCCTTCAAAGTTTGGGGTATTTTTATTATTTTTCCCGTACACTTTTTGTACATTCATCTGTCTCACTAAGACATAGTTGTCTGTCCACAAACAACTCCGTAGAGTTATCTGTGGACAGACAATTTTGTGTGTGAGAGACAGACGAATGTACTAAAGGTGTACACCAAAATGTGTACACCTAGCCCAACTCACCAAATAAACGGGTATTGAGAGAAGTCAAACTGCATTGAATTTATGGCAGCCATCAAATTTATGACCCAATTATTTTATACGAAAAGTGTTCCGAGAAACTAATTAAAAGACAGCATAAGCCAAAAAGTAATGGATACTTTTCTACTAATAATAGAGATCGATAGATATTACTCGAAATAGGAGTAAAACCGTTGGGTGAAAATTCCAAAATAGGACTGTCATGTTTTTATTCCCAAAATAGGACTAATTACTTCCATATTTTAGCAGTACCAGACTTCAAACATGACGGTATTTTCCAAACTTGACAGTAATTACTCCTATTTTGTGAATAAAAACATGGCAGTCCTATTTTGGAATTTTCAAACTTTTTTAGTCCTATTTTGGGAACTTTCCCATCGATAGATATTAACACCCACAAGATATTCACAGAATATAGCAACCTCTTTCTCTGGCTTCCTTCCGGAGCTTCTCAGTCTCCTCCTGTGCTTTCTCCAAACTCTTCCTCAGGTTACTGATCTCATATCTAGATAGCTCTTGGGCTTCTCTTGCACTCTTCTCAGCCTCCAAGCGAGCAGCTTGCTCTTTAGCCAATTGCTCTTCCAGCCTGAGAGTCGTCTCCTTCAGCTTCATCTCCACCTGTCATGGTAGACACATAAGACACAATTGCACTAGGCAAATGCCGCACACAGAAACATATAATATCATTCATGTGTGTGGGTGTGTGCGGGCTGCTCAGGTCCAAACTTTTTTCTGGACGGCTAACTTTTGATCAAGACCGTAAGGTTGAAATACAATAAATGCCCATCAAGATCTGACAGCCCATCACCGACACCCAATCTTATATGCATACATGCATACATATAAGATTTCCAGGAACGGAGGTGGTGGTGACATTTGGAATCTATAAAAACACCAACTACTAGATCTATGTTACATAGCAACGATCTCTAGCTCAACTTTAACCATTAGTATTTAGTACAGTATATATAGGCTTTTAAGACTATAGGATGATACTTAAGGGGGTAGATGTTAAAACTGTTTCAAAAGAAAAGAGTTAATTAGTAACCTTTCTAGGCATTCTTTGGCTGATGAACTAGATGTTTTACCAAATACTAATTTATTCCTCCATGTTGCCTGAATCAACATAGACTAAAGAACAAAAGTAGAGCAGAAGTTCTTTTTTCGCTGTTGAAGAATAAAGAGGCTAAAATTTATGAAAATGACATTTTCAACCTTCATTTTTAAGGTCCAAATGACTCTCCCTGTCCCACTAAATATTTCCAACTTCCCTTATCCAGCTGTCTCTAACACTTCGTAACTTTACTTATAAAGCAACTAATTTGTGGTTAGTTTTAGTTATCTCTTATTCATAAACCTCAACCAGAGTTTTTGCTTTCTAATATCATGTTAAGGTCAAAGTTGGCTAAGTTTAAGGGACGGGAGTACAATTTAAAAAAAATAGTTAGATAATTTAGCAAATTCAACCACTTCAACAATTTAATGCTTTATACCCAAGCTCTATAGTAGTACAAGTTGACAAACCTTAAAATCACAATCAAGTCACATTTCATTTTCAATAAACTGTACCTCCATTTGGCCTTTAATAGTGCTAATTTCGAAATACCAAAAAGAGAAAGAGTTTGCAGCATATTTTTCATTGACGTACCATTTCAGTGATCTGCCTAAGTTGCTCAGCATATGCTTTTTGCATTTGATCGTTCAACTCAGATATCTCTTGTTTGGAGTATCTCGATGAATTAAATTCTGCAGTTTGATTCCGGATTTGAAGAGCACCTTTCTGTTTAAAGGCAAAATCACCATCTTATTCAGCCAAATGAAACAACAATGGAAATAGCATACCAAACAATGACCCCAAGAAGTACATACCTTCAGTGCAGAAAATATCTCATCAGTGTATGGTTTCCCACAGTTCCGATCTACCACAGAGTTCACAAGGGTAAGAAGTTCTCTCAACTGTGAATCTTTCTTAGTTTTATCCTTCGTCTTATTATCAAAAAGCACTTTCCTGTTCCCACACATCACAAGAACATTCTGCAATGGAACACAATCAAATGAACAATAAATCCTAAGATACAGTCCATTTATTCCCATTTATGAATCTCCATTTCCCAAATCACACAGTTTAAGAAAATTCTTTAGATGGTTAGAGTCATACGTTAATCAAAGCTTTTTAAATTTCAGTTCATCATTATAATCATTATCATTACCCCAGTGCCGCAAAGGCTCCCACCTACGGTAGGGTAAGGGGGGTCGAATGTACGCAGTCTTACATCTGTACTAAAGCACAAAGAGACTGTTTCTGGATGACCCATAGTGAAAATCGCATCCAAAATTGCATGGACTGACTGCTGCTTCATAAAAAAGAAGCGCAGACAGTTTAGTGAGTTATTTTACTTTATTCCGTCATATTCTCAAGCCAAAAAATAGTGAACTTTTTAAATTTCAGTATTTTACCAAAAAACATAACTTAATATGGAGTTACTTAGAGCATCTCCAATGCTATAATGTCCACGGTGCACATGTGGCATGAGTGATAGCCACAAAATTATTAGCAAATAAATTATTTCTCTCCTTATTTGAATGATTTTATACAATTTTGGTAAGTTTTTCCCTGCAATGTCAACAACAATGTCAACATTAGACGGTCTCCTTGACATTGTGGAGAAAAACTTACCAAAACTGTATAAAATCATTCAAATAAGGAGAGAAATAATTTATTTACTAATATTTATGTGGTCATCTCTCATGCCACGTGTGCACCGTGCACATTGTACCATTGAAGATGCTCTTACTACTCACTTGACATGATTACCATAAGAGGGTTAGTTTTGAAAAATAATATGTAAAGTGCATTGAACTCATAAATGGATAATAAAAAGAAACAACCAACTTTTGTCAACGAAAGAAGATACTCCCTTGTGCCTAAACTAATCAATAACGTGACAAGGCAAGATGACTAAGAATGTGAAAGTTGTGTAGTTGAAATGTATGTAGATGAAAGAGATATAACATGAACCACATAATGTTTTCTTTCAAAGGAAATGGGGGGAATTATGGGACTGATCAAAAAGGAAAGTGTGTGGATAGTTTTGAGATAGGGGAGTAAAATATGAATGCATAGAGTAAGACAAATAAAATTTTTGTTGTTCACTTTTCATTTAAAATCAAAAACTAACATTCGCAAGGTAAGAATATGATATTTTTGTAATATCCTACAGTATGTACATCAATGCCAACATTCAAATTTAGGATAATCACAAAAATGTCACCTTATGAATTTTAGTCATCGATTAACAGAAAAGGAAGCTGGCAGTTACAACTTCTCATGATAAGATGTGCAGTGTGCTTATGATATACTCCGTATGTGTATATAAAACAGACAAAACAACCAGCACGGGAATGCTGCAAGATTGGGTTTAGAAGATAACAATATTATGTATTCGAAAATTATACCTTCAAAGGCTCAGGGCAGTTACGGCCTAAATAATCATCCAAAGTTTCATTAGATTCTTCAAGATCATCCCCACCAGTGAAAACTACAATCATGTAGTCAGTCAATTTGCTTCCAAAAAATCTACACAAGCTCTCAACAGCTGATTCTTCTTCTCTTGAAAACCGGGTTCTAACTGAGAAAACTACAAGAACAGCATGAATACCGTCCTTGGCCATGTTAATGCATTTAACAATTTCCTTTCCAATTGATTCATTATCACCGGAATAGTCAAACAACCCTACAACAATTAAAAACCACTGCAATTTAAATACAACCATCATAGATGCAATAGTAAATTATACTCTAAGATTAAATAATTTTAGCATGATATACCAGGAGTGTCAATAACATTAATAATCTGTCCATCCTTCAAAATGGTCTGCTCCAGCTGGCAAGTGCTTGTGACACCAGACGAGCTAGACATCGACTTGAATTTTCTCTCCCCGATAATACTATTACCAGTCGCACTTTTTCCATTTCCAGTTCGTCCAAGTAAGACTAAAGTTCGAGTATCATCAGAACTTGAAGATGTGAACTCCCAATCGTCATAATCCGTACTTCCTCCCATCCTCTGAGATTAATACATATTGAACATTAATATATGGGGCTTGACCAAGAACAATGAATCAGTTTTATCCATTCAGCAACAAAGAACAAAAGGAATAATAGCTAATATCACCTTAATAATGACTTAATACACTAGCAGAGAAGTAAATAGCAGTCTTAAAACCGCATCATCATCATCATTCATCAACAGCAACAAAAGAAATACACATATAAACAAGCATTAATGCCAATTTTATTGAGATTTGTGAATTTGTCGGGTACGTAACACTGGATTAACGGTAGATGATCAATTTGTATCAGTGACAAAAGCATCGCAAGCACTTAAGAGACTATAAGTATAAACAGACGATACTGAAATGGATAACTTGTTTATGCTTATTTAACGTGAATTTATGTGCACCTAATAGAAAAACACCTTCTGGACAGAACAATTCCAACTTAACCTTGTGTGTATCATAGACTGGCAACAGGAAATGAAATTTCACAGAGAAAATACGACCAGTAGTCGTAATAAAAATGGAATAAGAATAGATTAGAGGATTAGCGAACCTTGAGCAGAGATTTAAGCTCGCTGTAGAGAGAAAGGGATAACTTCGTTTTGAAGAGAAAGTAACAAAGAATTCAGAGCCCAGGAAAACTTTAGACTTGGAGGTCAAAAAGGTGACAAGAAGGGTAGAATCGGCATATCACCGCCGACGTTCCCCATACCGAATTGTAACACTGATACCAATACGTTAGAGGAAGTATTATCCAAGCAACTTATTTTTCGTGAATAATAACAGAACTTTTAAAGCGCATAACGTAAAATATTTTTACCATAAAAAAAACGTAAAATATTTTTCAGAAAAAATTGCTTTAGAAGTTAGAAGTGTGGAATTGTGGAAATTCTAATTCAAATATAAAATTGCTGTGTTTTTTTATATAACCAGGATATTATTGTCATGAAAATAATGTCATGACTAGTGTAATACTTGGATCATGCCCCAGTGTGTCATTTTCAGAAGTATAAAATTATTAAATATTCGTTGTATATCAAAAGAAAAGAGAAAAGATGTATTGATGCAATCAATGACCGTCCAAGTTTTGTAAATATCCAAGTTTTGGAAGTTTTGCAATCAATGACTCGATTAACAATAAAGCAAAACATGTACAAAAACATGTACATGATGAGCGTGTTTTATAACTCATATGTTCAGTTTTTAGACTTATTTGACATATTTTTATGAAATATGTATTTTTTTTTGTTTCACATACTAGATGATATAATAATCAAAATAAGTAAGCTTAGAGTTATTTTTGAATGAATGATTGAAAGTACTGAATAAGACTATTTTTACTATTTTGTATAATTTTCTTTATTTGATTAATAAAATATATTTTAAATATAATATTCTATGATCTTTTTGAGTCTTATTTAAAAGATTTTTATCAAATACTCCGTATGTATTTTTTACATTTCACATACTGCATCAAGATAAGTAAGATTAAAGTTATTTTTTAGTGAATTGGTTAAAATTGTTGAATAAGACCATTTTAGCTATGTTTGTTTAATTTTATTTATTTTATCAATAAATATATTTAGATATAATGTTTTCACATTTCAACAGATTCAACTAATTTCAACGTTATCAAACAAACTCCTTATAGGATGTGAATGTTACTAAGTCCATTTTAATAAAATTTAAAATTCAATTACTATCTGGTCGAACGTAAATATTTGATAATAAAGTCACGCAACTACTAACTATTTGTTGTTGTTATTAGGATTTTTTCTTTTGGACTGTTTTCAGTCTCAAACCAGATCAGACCAGACCAGACTTCCGTAGTTATAAAATACACAGAGACAAGACATTTATCGGACCAGACCAGCAAATTTCAGTCCATAAGAAAACATCCTTGCAATTACTATTATTGTTGTTGTTATCATTATTTTATGGGAAAGTTCCCGAAATAGGACTAAAACAGTTTGAAAATTCCAAAATAGGAATGACATGTTTTTTATTCCCAAAATAGGAGTAATTACTGCCAAGTTTGGAAAATACTGCCATGTTTGAAGTCTGGTACTGCCAAAACATGACAGTAATTAGTCCTATTTTGGGAATAAAAAACATGTCAGTCCTATTTTGGAATTTTCAAACCTTTTTAGTCCTATTTCGGATAATATCCCTTATTTTGCTATCATTATCATCAACATCATTATCATCATCATTATGATTATAAATATTATTATTGTTGTTACTTAATTAGTACTATTATTATTATTATTATTATTATTATTATTATTATTATTATTATTATTATTATTATAGAGAGTCCTACTCACATGTAAATATGTAATTTACAACGTTAAAACTTCGTGTTTTGCTTCTGGATAAGCATCATCGAATATAATCTTTTGAATAAGCATTAATAAATAATAACTCTTATGTTGTTATAACTTGAGTAGCATGTCTTTAAATTTATAACATTAGTGATATTAATTATATTTGTTAACCAATAAGAAATTGACAGATCAGTCATTAAAACTCAACTTTACAATGTAAAACAATAAATAGTATAATTACCTCAATTTTATTGTGATTTTGTCTTTCCTTGCGGTTCTCATAAGCGTGCCTGACATTCCACTTAGGATATGTTTGGGAAGTGGGAACTCGCAAGGTTGATGAGGTTACTCTTCTTTTTTGTTTGGGAGTTTGAAAAAGGGGGAGGGGTTGATTTTGGAAGGCTTTTGTAACCCTCCAAAATCCTCAAAATGTTCAATTTTTTAATTCCTTGAATGGTTTTAAAGAATAATTAATGAAATGATAATTTAAGCTCAATTTAAAATGAATATCAATTCAGTTATTTGAAGTCATCATAACTCAAAGGGATTTTAATTATAATTCTTTTAAAGACTTTCTTCTTACAAATTCATTACTTCTAAATATAAAGAAAGGCTCTTAACCTTCCTTTCCTTTCCCCTTTGACAACAAAACTTCAATGCCTTCATCTCTCCTTCTCCCGAATTCCCAAACATATCCTAGTGTAGTAGTGTACTAGTGTTAGCAAAGCAAGTGTACATATTTGTGATCTCGCTTTCCTAGGTGGTGGTGGTTTGAACGAAAGGCATAGTTCACTTGTGACATTGAGATTGTTTTTAAATATAGAATGCACTAATTAAGAATGTTATTTCAAAATATTACTACGTACTATTTATTATAAAACTATAATGATATTTACTTTAATGTAGCTTTATGACTACTAAGCCAAGTTTAAAACTTTGTTATAAATTATTATAATTTATAACTAAAGTTGCTACTATGGTTGCTATATTTAGAAAATCACATTGTTAGTGAATAGCTTTTGTTTTCATCATATATACTACGTAAGGAAGCCAATTTTTCCAGTGTAATGAATTAAGTGCTTGCTCTTAAAGAATAATGGATTCATAATTTGTTTTTTATGTACTCTCTATCCCTAGTAACTTTGTGGAGTCATTGTCCTACTTTAAGGATGTTTTCTTTTGGACTGTTTTCAATCCCAAATCAGATCAAACCAGATCAGACCGAATCAAACAAGAATAGACCAGACATAGTTATAAAATACACAGAGATCAGATGTTTACCAAACCAGACCAAATCAGCAAGTTTCAGTCCAAAAGAAAACATGTAAGAGTCATTTCACAGTTTTCAGGGTCTGTTTGCAACAGCTTTTGCTTTTAAAAAAGTACTTTTTTTAATGAAATGGGGAGAAGTGATCAAAAAAAAGTTGATAGTATTTGATAAAAAAGTGATTTTGAAAAGTAAAAGTGGGTAGTGTTTGGTAAAATAAGTGTTTTTTGTGTAATAGAAAAAGTAAAAGCACTTTTGACGCGGAAGCCGAGAAAAATAAAAGTTGTAGTGTTTGGGAAAATAAGTGTTTTTAATAGCCAAAAGCTGAGAAGTGCTTTTTTAACCGGAGTTGCAAACCAACCCTCACCATGATTTACGAAGTATTCTCTTTGCCATCTTTGCAGGATCAGGTGTGGCCGTGTGGGGAGTACGGGCCCCTGAACTGAGCAATTTCGCTATTGTTGTGACAATCTGAAATGTTATTGTGAGACTTATTTATTACTCCATATTATAATAATATAATAAATTATCTAACCTATCTTGAAAAAAAAATTCCTTAGATAGAAATACAAATATTCACAACATAGATTTTGATCAAGTCATTTATTAGCGGAATGGATTATGGTTGATATCAACTTACAAAGTTAAATAAAGGGTATAACAAACCAACAGTCATGACCTGGAAATGTCACTGACAATGATAATACAAAGACAAGCAGGTCAAGATGGCAACTTAATCTATCTACCAAACGAAATTGCATTGAAAGAGGATGAGTAATGACAAACAGCTGCTTCTATTTTCCCTTTAAGGTTGAATTTCTTTGCAATGACTGGCCTAACATCCTCAACTCCTACTAAACTCTCCAAAAATGGGAGCAGTGCAAGCAATTCTTGGTCACAAGGATCATCAAACCAACTCTCGATCGGTATACCGTTGTCCACTTGAAATCCAAATGCCTGAAAGTTAAACCGCGACCAGATTTATGCTTTTCATAAATGACTGATGTTATACACTACATAAAAATTATGGAAAGAAATTGGTAAAATTTCGAACAGAATAGAGGTGATGGAAAATATAACATTGCTTCAAGCTCAATAAATTTACTTTTACCTAGTACGGAGTAATATTTACTTGTACTCATTTTTTTCTATTATAAACAGGGTAAGAAATCTCAGCAAATGTCAAAATAAAATTTAAAAATAAATGCTCAAATAGTTTTTTAGTACCAGAAAATAGAGTTTTTGTTTTAGGTCCTTGCCAAGAGTTAAAAATTTTTTCCATCTCCTGCTAGAAACTGTTTTCTTTTTTGTCCCTCATAGGTTTTCTAGCAACCTCCATTTAACAATAAAATAGACATCATTAATGTGATTTATGTTTTTCAACTTTTTACGTCATATATATCCTATATTAACCTATATTTCATATAAATTAATGGTTAGCTTTATTTAGCCTTATCGGTACAATAAGCTCCCAAAAAAAGCAAAAAAAAATTAAAAAAAAAAAAAAAAGAGTTGGCCTCAAATGCTTTACTTAGCCATAAGAGCATTAGTTTTTGCTAAAAATAAAGATAGTCCAAAAGTTAGATAGAGACTAGAAAGAAAGTAGTTGCAGGAAGAAAACAAGAAGAAAATAGTTTGCAGAGATTTATACACCAAATACTCAAAACACATTCCATACAGACACTAATTATACTTTGTTTTCTTTTCGATGTGAAACCAAACATGAAAAAGTAAAGTTACTTAGCATTTCTTTTCTGTGCATATAATTTTATGGGATACAAACATACCCTAAAGACCTAAACAATTAAGGGAAAGTACAAACATAAAAAAGGCAAGCAAAAATTTGACAAAGGACTGAGTTAGTGAGCCTACCTGAGGAGAGTTGTCCACAATAATGACATGTGCTAAATCACGGCCAAGAATAGATAGATCTTTAAGATAATTTCCATCAACAAACACACAAGAGTCGCGGAAAACACGATGACGAAAAAACTTTCGCTTTGGATCTAACACATTCAAAACCTGCTCCGCATAAATGCTTTGGCTGGCAGTAAATATGATGATCTCAAAAAGGTCAGACACTTTCTCCAAGAAGTATCTGAGGTGAGGACGACATCGTACGTATACTGTGTGTTCCTTCATGTTGAAATTCACTGAGAATGTGAAATCAGCATCTTTACAAGGTTCCACTGTAGAGTGCACCAAAGTCTCTGTCAAAGTATTTTTTTCAAAGTCAACTTCAACAACTCATGGAAATTAATTAATAATCAAGAAAAACATTAAATAAAAATATGTTCATTTTTTAAAACTAATGAAGCCCAAAGTATTTAGCATCCCTGGCTCTGTAAACATACTGAAGACAGTGAATGTGTACTAATATTCAAAACTCACCCATCCATTAAACAGTCGAACATTATGTTATGGGTGTGCCTACAGGCTACAACTCTTTTAAGCTTATACTCCCTCCAGCCCAAAAAGTCTTGTTTTGTCCAGGCACAAAAAAATCTTTATCTTTTGGTAGGGTAAAACATAACATACTTCACTACTTTGGAACGTATTTGTTTTAAAAGCCTGAAGTTTTTTATTAAATTCAATGAAAGCTAGAATGTTTTCTTGAAATATGACTTCGGAGAGGGAGCAAAAAAAGTTTTGAAAAAAACTAATTTTGGAACATGTCTTGCTCAGGAGAAGTTTACCATCCAAGTCCAAGGCAAGAGTGAAGGAAGGGCAACTCCGGGTTTGTTTAGGCAAGAGAAGTGGCCTGAATGTTGGAACAACAGATGACAGATCTGGCAAATTCTTGATGAAAAAATACGGATTGAAGTCATCAAATTCTTGACATTCTGTTTCCTCCATGCTGATTTCAGTTTGCACTTGCTCTTGATTATACTCATCAGTACATTCTAACCTTGAAGTTTTTAAAGGCTGGCACATGGACAAAACCTCAGGTGTGGGGTTATTGCTCCCTATATCTGACACAAAGGCACAAATTAAGGAAGTAAAATCTGTAGTTCTGTACAACAAAATAAAATCAAATTAAGATCAGAAGGGTATGTTTACTTGCTGAAATGTTTTGCATGTGACCATTCAGTGTGTCGGTCTCCATGTTCTCTTTATCGCGGTCATCAAGAGGAAGATGTCCATGTTGTAAGGGCATAACCAAATCCACTGCAGAAAAAACATTGGTCAAGTTATTTAACAAAAACTATGGCACCTACCAGGATAGCTCACATTATTACAAAGAAACATAAAAAAGGATTTGATACCTTTGCTTGAAACTTCTCCTGCAATACTTCTGGTGATACGAAAGGCAGGAGAAAAAATAGCATCGGTTTGACTATTAGCAGTTTCATTTTCATATTCCTACAAATAGCAATCACAAAGTATAATCCTCAATAATAATTCCAGCTATATTTTGTTCTCAGGAAATTCCACAACAAACATGTTCTACACAAATATAGTGCACAAAGGTGAAGAGATATCTAAACATCAAGAATCATATGGAAGTGTAAAAAACGAAATTGCAGAGGTACCTTATTTTCAATAGAAGTACAGATAATTCCATAACTAACACCTTGACTCCAGCAAGTGTTGGTAGCATCTTTACCCAGCAATCCAAGTCTTGAATCCAAATTTGTACCAGTAACAGGCTTCTCCGCCTTCTTAGAAAATGTGTTGCCTGTTAGTATCAATAGGAAGAGCAGTGAGTCCAACTGTAGGAATTCCAGTTAGTAATTCCTCAACTATTCCAGTTAGTAATAGTTTAGGAATAACAAGGCAAAAAGGAGATATTTAATAATTAATGTGGATGTTGTACACAAAGGTTAAAATGGCCAAAATGCCTAGTATAACTGATGCATTCATCAAATGTTTGTCATAAAATATATAGCTCAATTGCAAATACATTTCTCACATAATGATTGCAACCCCTCTTTAGCCATCGCTTTAAGCAAAAATACGAGCAGTAACAATGTCTTAGTAGTTAATAGAAGTACAAAAATGGTCTGAAATCATACACCAATCGAAAATCCAAATAATAATAAGGTGGAGTTGCAGCGACTTTATCCCCATCCACATTAGACTGATATCTTGATATGGTAGGAAATGGCATGGTTCATTGTTCAATTCAAGAAATATATCAGATTTAGTTCTAAGAGCTACGAAAATACACCATAATCACAGATGTAACTGGGTTATAGTTGACTTCTGAAATGAAAGAATGCATATACTTCGTACTAAAAATCACATCACCCTATGAGACTCTAAGAAATTATCCAGATAGTACCAAATAACCAAAGCAGATGAACAAGATTAAAAAACAATAAGGTTTGTACACTGCTAAACAGATATTAAGCTTTAAAATAACATGTTGCACTCGTACAGCAATTTTTATTCCAGTTAAAAGACCTCTTATAAGTTATAAAGATATAGTAACAACCCCATGAATCAATTTTTTTTTGCCACTGTACATATCAACAGTAAATAAATATAAACAGAGTTATAAGAGCATTCAAATACCCTTATCCAAGTTACCTGGTTTCTGCTTCCTTGCTGAGGATGTGATTAGATCTGAAACTTTTTTTGCCTGATTTTGGATGTTCTCAGATAATTTCTTCTGCTGTCTCGAAACCCTTGGACTCGGAATATCTCGAGCACTTCCATCAACCCTTCTCCTAGTTTGCATATTTACCTAGGGTAAGACAATGATGATACCACAATTTCTTGTTTGAGCTAAAATTGAATTTATAAGATGATATATTGAGGTATTCCCTGTGAATGTTACACAAACAAATATTAGTTTCTTGTAAAGCATGTTTCGCCAGATAAATCAAATAAACCAGGTGGGGTATGGTAAATAGATATGTGGCTTGAGGCCTTCAGGTTCAGCAAATCAAAAAGGAGCTACCAGGTGAAAAAACACAAATAGGATTTTCAGTACTCGACTACTCGTATTAAATAAAACATATACCACTCAATAGATATGTCAACTGGAGAAAAAGATCAAAGCAAAAGTATCATCAACAGGAAAGTAGTACTACCAGAAGTAGCCATATACAATATAATATAATAGATTCCACGGAATTTTAAATTAACAGTTCATGAAAGATACTTCATATATTAGAATGACATTATTATTTAATATATTTTCATAGATGTGGATATGTGAGTTTTTTAGAGAATATACCTGTATATTGTGAGTAGATCATAAACTGAGTAGCTGTTTGAGAAGTACAAGTATACAACTAATATAAATAGATTGTGCGTCCACTATCATGATTATCAGGCATTCAATTGCTATTGAGTTCAATACAGGCTTCATTGCACAGAGAAAAAAACTTCAAAAAAAAATACTTGCCTAATTCCTGAAGTTCTAAAAGCTTCCAAGACTCAAATATAGTTCTAAAAGCTTCCAACTTTTAGAGCACAAGACTGAAATATAGAAGCGAAAGCTAATTGTCAAAGCTCATTTTCATCCTCTTTGCTTAAAAGGCCCAGGTACACAAAGTCACAAACCTGAACATAAAGAATTGCACTTCCCGATCAATGAGATTGAAAAGAAAAAGATCAAATCTTCCCAGTTTTCAGAAAATGATAGGTAAAAGGATGGCAGGATATATTACAAAAGGAAGAAAATAAAAAAACTAATTGAAAGAGCTCAGTATCTCTCCACCCTTTGAAGGAGTATTAAAAAAGTTCACATATGTCAGGATATGACAGCTCAAACCATAAAAAACGGAACTTGTTTCAAAGAATTGCCCAAATCTATCAGATAACATCTTTAAGATCAATGTTAGATGGAAATGCACGCCCGTTGACTAAATTGAAACCCTAAGTAAGACAAATGCAAATGAACAAAAGATTAACTAAGTGGCCAAATACTGCACCCTCTCACCCACACAAACGGATATGAGCTTGTTTAAAGTTCAGAAAGTCATACCTGAACTTCGAAATTTGAAATTTATCAGCTCTGTAACTTCAGAATCCGTGCCTGAAAGTAGCAACAGTGAGCTAGGTGGTAGGAGCGAAAGAGGGAAGAATTAGGGTTTTAATAACATTTTAAGAGGATATCTAAGACTGGGAGGGGAATTTTGAATTTTTTGAATTTTCGGCAGCAAGAGTGGAAAATAATTTCCCTCCCAACGGTGAACGGGCTGATGCTATTTTTCTCTTTTCCCTTGTTTTTTGAAATAAATGGACAGATGCGGAGGAATCGGGATTTTGATGATTCATTATTCGCTTTTCGAAGTCTAAAAAAGATTCCATAGAAGCAAGGAAACTGATATGCGCACACGGGACTAAAAAGTAAAAACACACATTGTACTGTTGCAGAATCTCCGAGCTCAATTTGTGAAAATGATTCATTTTTGGGTTGAGCTAGAAGTACATAAAAGTTGTACAAGTTGTTTGTCCATAACTTGTCAGACAACTTGTCTGTGGACTGACAACTTATCTGCGGGGACAGACAAATGTACAAAATAGTGTACAACTTTTGTGTACACCACGCATTTTTCTTCATTTTTTATGTTTTTAAGCTAAAACACTACAAGTAATATTGGGTACATTTATGTTTTTTCAGGCCAATTTTCCTACCAAAGATGATACATGTCTACTTTTACACATTCACTTACGTGCTCATTTACATGTCAGGTGTATTGAAGCAGCAGTTAACTCAAGCTGCAGACCACTACCAGCAGTTGAGTCAAGAAAGAGTCCACTGCTAGCAGCTGACTTGTCTAAAACCCAACTCCCTGAGGTTCCAGCAGAAACAAGAATAGGAATTAGAGTTCCTAATCCCTCAACACTGCCCATAATCAATGAAGAAGAAGAGGAGGAAGAGCAGAACACTCGAAATAATCAGACATCTGATATTAGATGGCTGAATCAACATCCTCCATAACAAATAATTGGAAACATCCATGAAGGGGTTCGTACCAGAGCATCAGTTTAGAAGCAAGCAATGTTCTTATGCTTCATCTCACAAATTGAGCTAAAGAAAATTGAAGAAGCCGTGCTAGACTCTGACTGGATACAAGCTATGCAAGAAGAACTCAATCGGTTTGAAAGAAATGATGTATGGGAGCTTGTGTCCAGACCCTATCATCAACATGTGATAGGAACCAAATGGGTGTTCAGAAACAAGATGGATGAGGAAGGCACCATTGTTAAAAACAAAGCAAGACTTGTAGCCAAAGGCTACTCCCAAGAAGAACGTATAGATTTTGATGAAACCTTTGTTCATGTTGCAAGACTGGAAGCAATAAGAATTTTCTTGGCATATGCTGCCTATAAGCAATTCACTGTCTATCAAATGGATGTAAAGAGTGCCTTCACATATATATATATATATATATATATATATATATATATATATATATATATATATATATATGCATGTATGTATATATATGTATGTATGCATGTATGTATGTATGTATGTATGCATGTATATATGTATGTATGCATGTATGTATGTATGTATGTATGCATGTATGTATGTATGTATGTATGTATGTATGTATGTATGTATGTATGTATGTATGTATGTATGTATGTATGTATGTATGTATGTATGTATGTATGTATGTATGTATGTATATTGACTTTCATTTTAATAAAGGAAATTGTATGTGACTTCGAACTGTCTAGTCATGGACTCGGTCCGGTTCGGGCCCGGGCCTAGGCCCGGTCGGGCCAAAAAATATTTCAGTGAAGCCCGGGACTGGCCTGGATGTTGACCGGTACCGGTCCGGTTCGGGCCTAGGCCGGGCCGGGTCCGATTCTATTTTTTTTTGTTTCCTTGATTATTTCATCCCCTACCCCCCATCCCCCAACCCCATCGGAAACACCTAGCCCAGCCCATTTAAATCCAGCCCAATCCAAAAAAAAGAAAAAATAAATAAAAACCAGGCATGAACCGGGCCCGAACCGACCGGGCCGGTTCACATTTTAGCATACCCGGAACCGGCCCCGGTTTCATCCTTAAACCAGGCCTAGGCCCGGAACCGGTACCCGGTTCCCGGGTCGGGCCCAAACAGTGTCGGGTCGGGCCGGTTCCCGGGCCGGGTGGCCCGAACCGAGTCCATGAATAGAACTGTCTGTGCACAGACAAATCACTTTTTTTGGATCATAGGCAGCTTCCCTTATGCACATTACATTTATAAAAAAGTACAAGTAATAATGCATATAGGAGAGAGACACAATATAGGGATATCAACTCATATTCATAATTATAATGTTTTAAATACATTGTGGGAAGAGCCGTCAAGGTGGGCTGAAATCCACAGATCAGCCAATTCCAAACCATTTATTGTTGTGTTGGGACTATCATTTTCTGGCCCGATTAATTCGCAGGTTTCGCGGGTCAACCCATGCAGGTAGCGGGTTAAGTGGGTTGGCCCGTGCGCCTAAATACAAATGCATAGTTTTGACTATCATTATCTTCATTATTCTTCTTTTACTGTCAAAATATTATAATTACAATTACATACTTATTATTTTACAACCATTGCAAAAAAGTTATTATATCTATAACAGCTAGTCAAATAAATTGCTAAAGGGTCAAATAGGTCTTTGTACTCTTGCAAATTGCTCAATTTGCCCCCTAAACCCTAAAAAGCTCCAATTGGTACCCTGAACTCGATAAAAAGATTCAAATTTCACTTTTTGCATGTCACAATCCGGTCACCATCACGTCACTCGGTATGGTTCCAATTGTGCATGTGACGTGGCAACTTAAGTGATGCCAATTGGAGTTTTTTTGAGTTCGGGAGGCAAATTGAGCAATCCAGAATTGTATAGAGGCCTATTTGATTTTTAAGCCCAAATAAATTGTTCAAACGTATGTTTGAAGCAAAGTTGAATATAATTTGTAGCAATTAGTAATCATGATATACAAATAATCACTCAAAAGTTTTAAGTAGATCTTAACTTTTACAGAATGAGTATTTTTTTTTATGTTTTTTTAACTAAACAGAACAAGTATTGAATGCTTACTATTTGATATCTTGTACTCTGTATTACATTTATTACTACTGACCAATATAAATACATACATTATTGATGTCACTAAAGTCGTTGTGTGCTTCAAAATAAAATACAATACTCGCACTAATACCGTAATATAGCGTATAATGCGTACTTTCTCTTTTTAATGAAACTATTAAATAACAAGGGGATTTTGGGATTGTTTGATTATAATTAATTAAACACTAAGATGGACGACTAATATGAATTTAATTAATGAGATAAGAGACTTGGTTTTGCTACTTTCCGATTGTTGATATGTTTGTTGATCCGGTTATATCTATAACTCATCCCCTCTCGAATACCCAATCGAGGAGTATCTCCAATTCATCGAGGGTACTTATTAATAATGACCGTTCATTAATAATCCTTACTATTAGCCAAGTATAGAACACCGCCATTTACCGAATTGATAGTAGCATTTAATCTCTTAATCCTTGATGAAATCAATTGAAATTGATAACCTCAACACAACAGTTTCGCTTTAACCAACACAATCAATCCCTCTCAAGATTATTAACCGCGACCGTGCATTAATAACCCGAAGTTACTTACCTGTGAAACTATCAATGATTAACCATTGGTTCATTGATCATTTCCAGTACTTATTAATGTCAAAATGTTAACTAATTGTAATCTAGCAACACTCCCCAACATTAATATAGAAATAAGATCAAGGGAAGAATTAATATTCAGGGGAAGAAGCAAGAAAATAACTCACACCTTTAACATTCAACAAGTTTCAAGAGCAAAACCAAGAAATGAAAGTTTATCTCCTCATTTGGAGACTAAACAATGCTAGAAAAATATAAATAAAATACTATTCTAAATTGAGCTTAAGTTGTGATTACAAATCATACCCCCCCCCCCCCCCCCCCCGGTATTCCATCTTTGTTGCACATGAAAGAAATGACATTGAATTTAATTCAGCTTGATGAATTATAAATAAGATTTTCATATTCACGATAGAGAAGTGTTAAGAATTTTGATAACATGTAACACCGTCCCCAAATGTATTTACTTTTAAGTGAATAATATATTGAACCTTGTATAATAGTTAATGAGAATATGAAGTGGTGAATTTTCATTAATTATTTTGCATGAATAGTAAATTCGCACGTGGGGCCCACACCGGGAGCGGGGGCCGCCCGATATTCCCGAGACCGTATATTTTATTCATCTTGGTCAATATAATATTTATATAGGGGTGGATAACCTATTGGTCCAAAGAAATGATATGGAGTTGACCGGTTGATCAAAAAGGCCAAAATACCGGTACTGGTAATTTAACAGATAAAAGCCAGAAATGAATTTCTGAGACCTATAAATTAAAAGTTGGGGAATGTATATTCACTATAAGGGTTATATTGATCGAGAACACGTAATATATTTTATTTGACCCGGTAAAATAAAATATATTTAAAACAGTCCGAAAAATACAACTTTCGGGACTGATTGTACACTTCGGGACGGATTGGGATGACCTCCCACATGGGTGGGGGCCACCCCACGAAATTGTCAACCAAAGGGGGCTGATTGAGTGCTAGGAGGGCTGGAGGACAAGTGAAGGGATGGGAGGAACACATTTGACATCTAGTGGACCCCCATTTCCTTACTCATTTGCAAAGAAAGACAAAAGAAACCATCCCCCTCCTCTCCCACTCATTGAGCTCGGCCAAGACACACCAAGGAGAGAAGAAACCTCTGCAAACCACCATCCCCCATAGCAAATTCGAGCTCAAGCAAAGGAGTCCCAAGGAGGAAGATTAAAGAAGGAGAAAACTAGGAAAAAGTGTGAAAATTAAGGTAATAACCTTATCATAACTTCTCCTCTATTTTTCTTCTATCATATGAGATATATATCATATGGAGAACCTTGAGGGTTGTTCTACATAATTTAAGTGTAGAATAATGGGTTGGAGAGTGGTTCTAAGTCCAAGAACGGATTTAGAAGCCAAACCGGCAAGTTCACCGGAAAATAACCTTTTAGGGGTTATTTGTATTGATTAAGGTTTTATGATGTTGAAACCTTGTTAGGAACTTGATATAGAGTATTTTGAGCCTCACCGGAGTTTCGCCGGAGTTTCGCCGGAGTTGGTCAAAGTTGGCCGGAGTTGGTCAAAGTCCGCCAAAGTTCAACCGGGAAGCGTAGAACGCGCTTAAGCTCACTTAAGGTGAGGATGACCGACTATATTGTTTATAATTATTGGGTTAA